CTAACTACTCTCCAGAAACCTTCAACCTGTTATTAATTAAAAATCTGTCCACAATGTTCTTTTACTTCCGCTTGTTCCCATCTTATTTATTTTAATTTTGTATTCAGGACACTATTTGTTTCCTCATTATATTCATTGCCATGCTTTCTGGCTTTTGCATCAAAATGTTTTGTTGTTTAATCTCCCCTTGCCTCCACCCTATCACAGAATCTTCCTGTGTTCTTCCTGACCCCTCCCCTCTTCCTCTGACTTAACACTTCCTTCACAAGTGAAGGGGAATAGTAATAAGGTCATTGAGCTGAAATGTTATCTGTTTCTGTCCCTGACCTGAGTTTTCCAGTTTTCTTTGTTCTTAGTTTCAGATTTCCAGCATCTTGTTTTTAAAAAATTTAACCTGTTTTTCTCATGAACCTGTTCAGAATGTTATTACATACCTCTGGAGCAGGTGGGACTTAAACCTGGGCCTCCCAGTCCAGGAGTAGGGGCACTACCACTTCCCCCAAAAGGGCCCTGGTGCACCATTCCCAGAGGTTCTGCAATGCCAAGTTAGTGTGTGAAGTAGATGGAGCAAGCCCTTATTCCATCTCTGTGCCAAAGATAAATTTAAGATGAGCCTCTGATGAGGGATGCATCAGATAGTAAGCTGATGAGAACAGATACGTTTGTTCTTAGCCAAATGGCCGCGGAGCGATAAAATTGTTTTCGTATTATTTACAATACATCAAATGTGCCATCATTTTGTCTTGTTGACCCTATAGATAAAAGTAATGCATGCCATGTTTGAATGAGAAAAGAGAACAGCTACTCAAACTGTGACTGATACAGGGGAAAAAAGAATCTTCGGTTGCATTGATACCATTTATATTATCTGACTTGCTTGTTTTTCATTCCCTTTTTTCTCATGCACCCTTTACCAAATTGAGAACTCAGGCTAATACTGAACTAATTGGAGGCTTAATTTGAAGAACAGAGTAAGACCCTACCGAGGTGGGTAACGTTTCTCTCTGGGATTTTGGGTAACAGTAATTCCTGAGTGAGGTTTACATTGGGATATAATTTTGTACCAACACTTTATACAGATTTGTGGAATTATTTAAAACTTCTGGATCAGGTGTAAACATCTGTGATAGCATTTGGTGGGTTTGTAAATATCTGTACATAATGTGTGCTGACATCTAACCAAGCATTGTATCTGAATGAGACATCATCAAAGATGGGTATTGCTGTAAAGTGTAATTGCAGAAAGTTGTAACCTAAAACACCTACATTTCCTAAATCATTTATATTGTAAGCTGTTCACTGAACAGGATGCAAACTGACACTACTAAGTACTTGGAAGAGCATCAAGATCATTCAGCAGTGGGTTCTAAAATACAGGATGTTTGACAGGCATAAAACTTATGGAAATTTTTTAGAATTCTTTAACATAGATAAAAGAAATGCAGTTGATGTGGCTTATGGATTTTCAGAAAAAGTCATTAAGCTACAACATGAGATTGAAGGCAAAGGAATTAGTGGGACCAACCATGGAGAATGTGGCACATGGAGAGAGTACAAACAAACAGGTTGGGTAAAGAAAGTTCTCGTGGAGTCTGTTATATGGCAGCTCCAAATACGAAAGTAAAAGTTCTGAATTTACAAGTTAAGAGAACTACATGGAAATTTGTAAGGTATAACAGGACAGTAGTGAGAAGTTGCTCGCTCACGACTGAGAAGGGGATTGCTGACAACCCAGTGCTCAACAGGAGGAGGAAGAGCACTGAACCAGAGGGGCATTTTGGGAGCTCATTTTGGAGAGGGGCTGTGAGGTCAAAGTGCAGGCTTTGGTAAGCATCGGGCTTTGCTGAAGAGGGTGAGCAGCATTAAGGTAAGACAAGGTCGGGTCTCCATTTGTTTAAAACCAATAGTTACTAGAGGAACAGTAATAGTGGTCATTGGGGTGGTATGTTTCTCCTATGAGATGTGGGAAATCGAGAGCAGTCAGATGTCCTGTAAGAAGTGTCCACCTGCAGCTCCCCTCTCACTACATGGATTGGTAGGAGTGGTAGTTGGACCCGCTGAGGAGCACACAGGAACCAGAAAGTTTTATGGATAACAGTTTCAGGGATGTGGTCACAAAGGTTCAGCCAATTAGGTTGGTGACAGCCAGGAGGGGCAGGCAGACAGTGCAGGAGTGTCCCTGTGGCTATTCTCTCATATGTATATCATGTTGGATATTATTGTGGGGAGAGGAAGCTGGCCTCCCAGGAGAAAGCAACAGCAGGAGCCAGATCAGAGGTACTGCAATGTCACTTATGCAGCTGAGGGGGTTCAAATGGAGGTGAGCAGTACTGACAGGTAACTCCCTAGTCAGAGGCACAGATAGGCATTTCTGTGGCCGTATGAGAGACTCAATGATACCAGGATCAAGGATATGAGTGTACACAGAATATCCTGAAAGGGTGCTAACATAGGCAGGAAGAGAGATGAGGCCCTGCAAAGGAAAATAAGGAAACTGGGAGCTGAAAAGAAGGATCTGGATTACACCCTGTGTAATGTGCTAGTGAGGCCACAAATTGGAAGGCAATAGAGGTGAATGTGTGTCTAAAGAACTGATGGAGGGAGGGCTTCATACACTTGGTTCATTGGGATCTCTTTCAGGGCAGGAGGGACTTGTACAAGAAGGGCAGGGTTACACCTAAACTGGAGGGGCACCAATATCCTGGCAGGGAGGTTTGCTGCTACCACTTGGGAGGGTTTAAACTAGTTTGGCAGGGGGGTGAGAACTACAGAGTAAGTCAGTGTGTGTAGTGACTGAGGAGAAGATAGACTTACAAGACTTAACCCAATAGGAAGAATAGGCACGGCCAGGTTAGTGAACACTGCTGGACTAGTGGTCAGAAGTGTATTTATTTCAATAGCAGGAGTATAACCGGTAAGATTGAGCTTAGAGCCTGGGTTAGTACACGGGACTATGATGTAGCCATTACAGAAACATTCCAGAGTTTAGATATTTCAGTGATGATAGAGAGGAGTGAAAAAGGGGATGGGGGAAGTTGCATTACTAATAAAGCAAAATATCATAGCTATGCTGACAGGACACCTTGGTGGGCTCATCCACTGAAGCCTCAGAACTGAGGAATAAGAAAGGTGCAGTCACTATGATGGGGTTATATGAGAGGCATCCCAACAGCCAGCGAGAGATAGAGGAACAGATATGCAAGGAGATTTTGGAAAGATTTAAGAACAGGGTTGTTGTATTGGGTAATTTTAACTTCCTCAATATTGACTGAGACTCCCTTAGTGTAGATGGAGCAGAATTTCTTGGATGCATCCAGCAGGGCTTCTTGAAACATGTGTAGATAGCCCAACTACGGAAGGAACCAAATTCTTGGAGAATGAGCCTGGTCAGGTGATGAAAGTTTCAACTGGAGAGCATTTTGGGAATCGTGATCCTAATTCTGTAAGTTTAAGTATGACTGGTCCTCGGGTGCAATTGGAGAAGATTAATTACAGCAGTACTAGACAGGAACAGGAGAAATTAGATTGGGGACAAGTGTTAGAATCTATTGGGAGGCCTATAGTATCACCACATATCTGACGGAGTTTTTTTAAAGGCCAGTTGATCAGAATTCAGGATCAGCATATTCCTGTGAGCATGAAAGAGAAGGATGGCAAGATTTGGAAACCGTAGATGACAAGATATTGACGAGATTTTAGTCAAAAAGAAAAAGGAAGCATCTGTAAGGTTCAGGAAGCTGAAATCAGACTAGGCCCTTGAGGAACATGAACCAAGAAAGAACTTAGACAAGGAATTAGGAAGTCTAAAAGGGGCTATTAAATGTCCTTGGCAAGTAGGATTCAGAATGCCAAGGCATTTTATATACATATTAGGACTAAGAGGGTAGGTCCACTCTTGGACAAAGGAGGAAATTTGTGTGGAGCCAAAGGAAGTTGGTGTGGTCCTTAATGAGTGTTTTGCATATGTATTCAGCTTGGAGAAAATATGGATGATCGTAAGATTAGGGAAGGGTATGTTGATATTGAGTCATATTGATATTAAGCAGTGTTGGGTGTCTTGAGAAAGATTAAAGTGGATACCAGGGATAACAAGGTGTAGAGCTGGATGAACACAGCAGGCCAAGCAGCATTAGAGGAGCAGGAAGGCTGATGTTTCGGGCCTAGACCCTTCTTCAGAAATGACGGAGGGGAAGGGGGTTCTGAAATAAATAGGGAGAGAGGGGGAGGTAGATAGAAGATGGAGAGAGGAGAAGATAGGTGGAGAGGAGACAGACAGGTCAAAGAGGCGGGGATGGAGCCAGTAAAGGTGAGTGTAGGTGGGGAGGTAGGGAGGGGATAGGTCAGTCCAGGGAGGACGGACAGGTCAAGGGGGCGGGATGAGGTTAGTAGGTAGGAGATGGGGGTGGGGCTTGAGGTGGGAGGAAGGACAGGTTAGGGAGGCGGGGACGAGCTGGGCTGGTTTTGGGATGCGGTAGGGGGAGGGGAGATTTTGAAGCTTGTGAAGTCCACATTGATACCATTGGGCTGCAGGCTTCCTAAGTGGAATATGAGTTGCTGTTCCTGCAACCTTCGGGTAGCATCGTTGTGGCACTGCAGGAGGCCCAGGATGGACATGTCGTCTGAGGAATGGGAGGGGGAGTTGAAATGGTTCGCGACTGGGAGGTGCAGTTGTTTAGTGCGAACCGAGCATAGGTGTTCTGCAAAGCGGTTCCCAAGCCTCCGCTTGGTTTCCCCGATGTAGAGGAGGCCACAACGGGAACAGCGGACACAGTATACCACATTAGCAGATGAACATCTGCTTGATGTGGAAAGTCTTCTTGGGGCCTGGGATGGGGGTGGTGGTGTAGGGGCAGGTGTAGCACTTCCTGTGGTTGCAGGGAAAAGTGCCGGGTGTGGTGGGGCTGGAGGGGATTGTGGAGTGGACAAGGGAGTCCTGGAGAGAGTGGTCCCTCCGGAAAGCAGATAAGGGTGGGAAGGGAAAAATGTCTTTGGTGGTGGGGTTGGATTGCAGATGGCGGAAGTGTCGGAGGATGATGTGTTGGATCCGGAGGTTGGTGGGGTGGTACGTGAGGATGAGGGGGATTCTGTTTTGGTTGTTATTGCGTGGACGGGGTGTGAGGGATGAGTTGTGGGAAATGCGGGAGACACGGTCGAGGGCGTTCTCGACCACTGGGGGGGGGGAAGTTGCGGTCCTTGAGAAACGAGGACATTTGAGATGTACGGGAGTGGAATGCCTCATCCTGGGAGCAGATGCAGTGGAGGCGAAGGAATTGGGAATAGGGGATGGCATTTTTTGCAGGAAGGTGGGTGGGAGGAGGTGTGTTCTAGGTAGCTGTGGGAGTTGGTGGGCTTGAAATGGATATCTGTTTCTAGGTGGTTGCCAGAGATGGAAATAGGGAGGTCCAGGGAGGAGAGAGAGGTATCGGAGATGGTCCAGGTGAACTTAAGGTTGGGGTGGAGGGTGTCTGTGAAGTGGATGAACTGTTCAAGCTCCTCGTGGGAGCACAAGGCGGCGCCGATACAGTCATCAATGTAATGAAGGAAGAGGTGGGGTTTACGGCCAGTGTAGCTACAGAAGAGGGATTGTTCCACTTAACCTCCAAAGAGGCAGGCATAGCTTAGGTCCATGCGGGTACCCATGGCCACCCCTTTGTCTGCAGGAAGTGGGAGGAATTGAAAGAGATGTTGTCGA